GTATACCTCGGGTGCTTGGCAAATAAAATATTCTTTTCAAATTTAGGTGTAATTTTTTAATTTGTTTCGATATAGATATATGACTGGTGGAATAATTTCTTTCGCTCGAAATTTCTTTTATTATTTACAAAATTTAGGAATTTCAATAGCGGGTGCCAAAGTACACGAGCGGTACCAAAATGGTCTTAGACTTGGTATTTGCATTTAGAGTCATGCTATTCGTCTGAAAATAGAATATTTATATATTTTCATCTACAGGTTTCACGATTTTCCTTATTAGAACTTCCTAAGGGGAACCAAGATGGCGGCCAAGATGGCGGGCGCTACCCCACGACCCTTGCATCCTTGCGCTTGAATTTAAATTAAACATGAGAACGGAATAAGGGAAAAGCAAGGGAGTAGCCTCGAGTTTAAACCTACCAAACGTTTCTGGCCTATTATCTACTCGACCTTGTGTTCTTATCCGCGATGTGACGCGGTAATGGCGCATATAGGAAAATGGCGTCGAGGCGTCGGGGGCGAAGACTGTTTATAAAGAAATGTGGATCGGACACAGGTGTTAGATTGCGTCGCACTTACGCGACGGCAAGAAATATCTCGCGACGGATTTTCTGGGGTGTTTGCACAGCAGGTGACTATACCTCGGCGAGAAACGCGTCTTTCTCTCATTTCGAGGCGTCCTCGAGCCGCTATTCTTTTTCCCGAATATTCCTCGGACAATGCCGGCCAGGAAGAGCGTCTCGATTCCGCTCTTTATCATGATAATGGCCTCCAGGCCGAATATTCGCCTCGATCGAACCCCCTTAGAAATCCGAATGCCCCAGTAAAGTCACTTCCCGTGGGAAATGCTCTTCTTCAAAATTCCATGCCGTCTTCAAACGTTCGTAACCTCACACTCCGGTATTCCAACTTTTTCGGCATAATTATTTTAAGGGGATATGAAAGGTTCATTCTATATATATGAAACGTTAAAATATTTATAAAACTTTTCTCCAAATTGGGTACACAAACATAATAAGTTTAATAAAGGTCTATAATGACCAAACATTATTTTTGGAAATAGATTTACCGATTAACAGAACTATTCGCAGCGGTTAAAAATTCTGTCAGGGCATGTCAAATTTTCGATCACATATCAGTTACGTTAACAAAAATGAAATTAACTGTTACTATGTAAATAGCAAAAATTTTTGTCATTCATCCTAGAAAAGCATAGTAACCATAGAATAGTTCATCTTACTACTTCCAAAATAGAAATAAAAATATAGTAACCGTAGCTAGATTTTCTAGTTCGGAAAACAGTTAATTTTACTATAAACAGTATCCGAGTTCTTTTTGAACTGCAAAAAGTAATGAAAAAAAACTTCATTTAACTAGACTTTTCTCTCAGTGTAGGATAGGGAGGATAGGAAGGATAGCGAGGACGTCGAGGATGGCGAGCAAGGTCCTGGCGAGGACCTTTGTCCAGCCGAGAGTCCTCTACACCGGCGGAATAATTCGAGTGCCATTTCTCTCGTATTATGCCGGGTAAGCGTTACTAATGGCCGACGCGGACTCTCCCGTTCCTGGGCCGATCCTTGCCGAGTCCTTATAATGTATATATAGGCCCGTGCGGGCACAGCCACGTATTTATGGTCGTAACACACGTACGTCCTTCCAGGACACGATCCCTCCCTCTCCCTGCGGCGAGCCCACAATCGAGGACATATAACCGAGCATTTATATCGTGCACTCGACAGGACTTTTATTATTTTTCACGCGGCGCATCCGCGACTCCTTTTTTACCCCCCTCGAACATCGCGGGCATCGGTGACGCCGCCGATCCTTAACGAGACGGAGGCGAGTCCTTTGTGCCCTCCTCCGGGGGACCCGGATCGATCCCCGTTTCCGACAAATTTTTTTTCTTCTTTTTCTTTATTTACTTTCCATTTTCCCTTTTTTCTTGTGATCTTTTCTAAGGACGACTCTCCTGAACTCACGGACTAGGGCATCAACGGTGGAGCTGATCGTTCGGTAAATTAGGACAAAATTAAAACAGCCTCGGTAGTCGTTGGGGATGAATTTTGTATGCTTTAATTTTTAGTCGAGGGGGATTTTTTTTTTCTTTTCGGCTTTAGGCAGGAGTCCTATGGGATGCGCTAATACGCGCGTTGAATATTAAGATATGTATTCGGGAAAAAAGTCATTTGCACTTTTAGCAAATGTCACAATGAGATCCGATCGATTCTAAATTCGCTAGAAAAATTAGAGCAGAGTTAAAACAGCCTCCGTGGTCCTTGGCGACGATTCTGGTCCTTTATTTTTTAGTCGAGGGGGATTTTTTGGTTCTTTTAGGTTTCGGGCGGGGTCCTGTGGGATGCTCTAGTAGGCGCGTTGGGTATTGGAGCAAATACAATAGCCGCGAAAAGGATACCCCTGGGAACGGTTCTCGACGGAGTTGACTTTTGAGAACACGTGAAAGTTAACTCCTGCACTCGCGGAGGCCTTTTCGGGGGTGAATCGGGTCATGAGACAGGTTCGAGACCCCCGCGGTGCAACGAAACGCATCTGCGGACGATTACAGGCCTGCAGGTGAGAAGTCCTCCCTGGAGCGAGGACTCGATTTCCATCTGCATCCTTCATGGCCAAGTTGTTCTCTTGCTGCTTCTTTATCTTGTATACTCTATTCTTACACGCAAAAAGAACATTTCTTCCTTAAACAAATTGTTTGTCCGCGTTTGGTTAATTTCAGGAAATGGAGAGAGGTCTCGATTTCCATCTGCATCCTTTATGGCCAAGTTTTCTGGTTGCTTCTTTATCTTGTAAGGTACCTTAGGGTAATGAGGCCCACCGTAACTTGAAAGGCTTGTAAAAACTAAGACATAAATTATTTTGGGAAGGGGAAACGAGCAGAAGGTACACGAACAATTTTTATTTCAGGTACAAATTAAAAAAGTAAAATATAATGCTAAAGAAAAACGTAATTATAAAAATTGTAGGATGGTGTTCCTGAGCTTTGTTCCCCGCACGTGTGGGGAACAAACGTGGGTAACTTTCCCAATCCAATATTTTCTAATTTTTCCTCGGAGTCAATGATACAATATTCGCAGATATTGACATTGAAATACTTGTAATTGAATTCGTGTTTATTTTTTAGGGGAAGTTCGATCGAGTCGGATCAGAGGAGGAAAAAAATTGCCGAGAGCGACATTCCAGCCATTTTCGTTCCGGGGATCGAAAAATTCATATTCATCGTCGCACAAAGGCGAATTCGTACACATACTCGGGGACATAACATCCCAGTGGATTACGTAGAATTTCGTATGTGTGGGAGAGAGGGATCGACGCGATAAAAGGCGTTAGTCCATTCGGGGATGATTTATGCGTCGGCGGGGCCGAAATACAAACAGGTGCCCGAAGCCCCTGGAGGACCCAAAACTCATTGGAATAAAACGGAAAGTAGAAAAAATATATACGTACACCCTTGCGCGTGTGTGGGGAGGACTCCGGTGGGTCTCGGAGGTGACGCGGAGGTATTCACGTGGCCAGGTGTACAAAGGTGTCCGACCGCCCCCGACTTTCTTATTTTCACCCTCTAAGGGGTAATTCTCGGCTTTCCTCGTGTTCTTCACGCTTTGCCGAACCTTCTCCACCGTGAACCTGAACATTTCGTGGGTCACCGAACAATCGGACCCTTTATCAAAATATTAGGGGAAATCATATTTCACGCGAGAGGAGCCCTTTAACCTGGGATCTCGAGATGACCCTTTTCGACACGCACGATTCGTGAGATCCTTCGTAAATTGGAAAAAAAAAGAATTACGAAATTTGGGGTTAGGAATAAGAGATTATACCGAGAAAAAAGAAATTCATTGAACCGAAGAAAACCGAAGAATCCTTCGAAAATTGTAAAGAATAACGAATTGGAATAATTGAAGGCAGAAATTAGAGATTACCCCGAGAGGAAATAAATTCAGTAAACGGAAGATATATTTCTTCGAATGGTACCAAATTTTGTCATTTATAAGAATAATTATTTCACGCTAATAAACTCGAATCAGTTATAGTTTCGAAGAATGTTGTATCCAAAATAGTCCGATTCGTTTGAATCAAATATTTATTCTTTGAATTAACAAAATATGTCTTTGGTTCAATGAATTTTTTCTCGGTGCATGATCGAGATGCTCATTCCTAGGATTGTAGTCGTAAAGCAGAAAATTGATAAGATTGGAAATATATCCAGTATAAGCAGGGAGCTTATCATTAGTCATAAAACGCGGGTTTCATAAACTTGAAAATATATCCATATCCCTGGGACTGTAGTCATCAAACGTTATTTTCGTAAGCTTAAAAATATATTCAGTATTCTAGCAAATTTCATACGTTTGAATACATATCCACGCTCGAGGTGAATTTCATAATTTTGAATGTATATCCACGAGTGAGGCGAATATCCTAATCTTGAAAATATAACCAGAATCGTGGTAAATTCTGTATGCTTGATCATGGATATATTTTTAAGGTAATGAAATTCGCCTCAATCGTAGGTAGGTATATATATTTACAAGTCCACGATCGAGGCGGATTTCGTAACCTTAAAAATATATCCACGATCGAAGTTTTCTCAGTACAGGTGAGCCGACCTGTCCATAAGTACCCTCGGAATATCCGTGTACATCTCGGCCCCCAAGGGCGCAAGTAGGAGGCAATATTCTCAGATAGACCTCACCAGGGGCGTGCACATAGGCGGAGCCAAGGTAGGCCCCTCTCTGGCCCTCGTTACCAACGAGCAACCCCGAGGCGAGGCGCCGCTTCGCTCCCCGGCGCGCCCGCTCCCTCGGACCTCTCTCTCCCTCGCGCGTGACGCCCCCTCGTTCCGTCCTTCTCTCTCGCCCACACGAACGGGGGCGAGCGATCCTTCTCTCCTGTATGCGGGCGCCGTGGGAGTGCTCGGCCGGCCCTGCTCGGTAGAGGGGCCCCATCGGGAGCGCCAGTCTTCTCCGGGCCACGATCCCGTCGAGATTACCGGATCTCTTCATTTTTTTTTCTTGTGCAGTTATCACCTCGCGTGACCGCGGTTGACGGAATTTTCGACAAAATTCCTGGAGTACAGTTTCGGCTCGTCCCTAATTTTACGAGTCTCACCTGTGTCTCACCATTTAGTCCAGGGGGAAGGATGAACGCTCCCAAGGGACGCTCGTGACGCCGCTTGCCGCTGGATTGCGAAAATGAAGGTTATATATTTGTGTACTTACCTTAATTGTAGGGTCCTTGGTATTTTTCTAGATCTCTTTGGTCATTTTCTTAGGTAGTCGCTCGAAATAATTTCATCAAAATTTAGGTTTAGTTACCGGGGTCGATAACTTACTTGGAGATCTCCGATAAGAAGTTTCAGAGTGTACCGTTTTATTTACACGTGCCGTGGAAAACAGATTTTATGTGATTTGTTATCCATGCCATATAGAATAGGTATTGTAGTAGGAACGAAGGTACACGTTAAGAAAGTCTCCGGAAATTATTTCATTCAATTTAATTCTAAAATGAACATTTAAATTCTGGCATCGCCAACTTGAAAATCATTAATAAAGATCTTTGGGGGTAGATGATGCCTAGAGATATCTCGTATTGTCCCGTTTGTGGAAGTAAGACACAAAATGGCCTTACCGGAAATTCCAGGGTGAGTTAGGTGTCACGAATCTCGTTAAACGGGAAAAATTCCGAAGAAAATTGTCGAAAATATGCACCGGGGTCAGGATGCAATTAGAATTTTCTCGACTTGTGCGTCATTTTGGGGCAGAATCGTGCCAACCGTTTCATTGCTAAGCCCTTTTAACGTATGGTCGAGATTCGTTCCTACGTGCAGGCACTAATGAACCAAATGTTAGACGTATATATATACGCCATTCGTAGCCAAAGGGTTAAACGGAAAAAACTTTGGAGAAAGCGGTCAAAGTAATGCCCTCGTGTCGGGATGCATTTCGCATCTTCTCGACTTGTGCTTCGTTTTGGAACAGAATCGTGCCAACCGTTTCATTGCTAAGCCCTTTTAACGTATGGTCGAGATTCATTGCTGCGTGCCGGCAATAGTGGACCAAACGGTGGACGTATATATACGCCTTTCGTAGCCAAAGGGTTGAACAGGAAAACTTTCGAGGAAAATAGACGAAAATATGCCCTCGTGTCGGGGTGCATTTCCCTCTTCCCGGACTCATGCTTCTTTTTAGAGCGGAATCGCGTTAACTCTTTTACCGAACAATTGGCACCCCGTTAAATGTAAAAAATCCGGAGAAAATGGCCTAAAATATGCACTCGGGTCAGGGGGCATTTCGCATCTCCTCGACTTGTACTTCTTTTTAGAGCAGAATCGGGTTAACTCTTTGACCGAACGATTGATCTCTTACATGCCACTTTGACATCCCATTAAACGGAAAAAAATCCGGAAAAGTGGCCGAAAACATGTAGACGGGCCAGGGTGCATTTCGCATCTCCCCGACTTTGACTTCTTTTTGGAGCAGACCCGATATCCGGTAGTCGGCTCTCGGTTCATCCGTTTGACCCGAGCTCGCCGGCATTTCTCATTTTGTCAGCTCATCTCGGTCCTGCCGACATCCGAGGAAATAAATGATTGCCTCTATTATTCTTGCTTATTACGGGCTGATTGCGTTCCTCGCCGTTCGGGAGAGCGAGAGAGAAGGAAGGCAAGAATCGAGTCGCACCTCCCGTCGGTCTTGTGGACGTGGCCCGAAACGGCACTTTTTCTCCTCTTAACCGCTAAGCACTGCTCGACGCGTTAATCCGGGGACAAAAAAAAGGAAACAATATTTCCCAACCCATCCTGCCAAGGAATCCGATAAACCTGGACTAAATTCCAGCGACGAAAGCAATTTATAATTATCAGGATGTCGAAGGAAATTCCATTACAGGTAGACGAGATAACTCTGGGAAGATTTTTCTTTGCCAAATGATAATGTTAAGGTGGGATGAAAGGGTCGCTTTATACATGAAATTGTTTATAAAACTTTTCTGCAATCTGGATGCACCGAATATTCTGAAACTTTAACGCGAGATTGTGGAGTCCCTAAGGTAAGTCCTGAGACTCTTGAAATTTCGTTTTTTTATAACAAGTTTCGAAAATATGTATGGACAAATTTTTTCCACAATTGAAATTTCAGGGCTGTCAGGACCTTCCTTATAGTCTCTATATTCAAGTTGTGAAGTTTTAAATAGACTCGAATAAATCGGATGCATCGTTTCTTCGGAATTATGACAATCCTTTCGGGTTTATTTGAGTCAAATCGTTATTCCTTGAATTAACGAAATATTTCATTGGGGCGGTTCGAAGAAATACGTCTTTGGTTCACTGAATTTTTTGTCTCGGGATATGGACTAGTAAAAATTGTATTGTCTCGGCCACACATTTTTTTTGCGGGTAGATAAGGTTCGGTTTCCTCTCCGGTGAATTGTTCGCCTACGAAAGACGTCTCTAAAAATTTTTCGAGGTTCCCCGACGGTCAGTTTCTTCTTGAGCTGGCCCTGAAGAATCGCCGGGCCTCGGGTCCTCTTCTTGTTCGACTTCACAGGTGGCACTTCACTCGGCTGTAAATTACCCTTTGGTCCTTCTCCAGACCCGCCTTAAGGAGTCGTAAATTCAGGGAAAGGTCTCCGTGGACCAAGTCTCTTGGGACTCGGATTTTTCGGCGTTTTCGGGCTTTTCTTCGGCCTTCTTCGGCATTCTTCAGCCTGCCGGACACTCGTCATGTATACATATCGAGCTCATCGCGATCTAGGAATTTACTCTTTACTTATTAAAGTGAAGTAAAACACGTCAAGGAACTTGATCGACGCCGGTAAAAAGATTTTTCTATGTACCTCCGTTGCCGACGTTCGTTTTTACATTGACAGCTCTTTCGAATTATATTGGGTGTTGTACTAAATGGCATACTCCACCTGTTTTCGCGTAATAATTATAAAAAGATTGAAATATAACTCCATAAATCCTCTGGATCCATGGTTTCTGACGCCCTAATTGACTGCAGAGTGACCCCCTGCGCCATCTGTGATTTCCGTGTCAACTAAATTTTCACTCCGACAACTCGTATTACCTTCGTTTTAGCATAGAGGCGCATAAGACATTTTTGTTTACCTTTATCCCGTCAAAATAGGAGTTTATCGATTCCCAGAGTGTTCTAGATTGTCGTACAATTGTCCTGATACTTTTGTTTTTCGTATCAGAGCCTTCAATAATTGTATATTGATGGAAATATGAGAGCTGAGACCGGATCCTCAAATTTATACAATCAACTTTCACATGCGAAATTGTCAGTTTCGCGTAAGACTTTCCAATGTTGACCAGTAACGCGACTTTACAACAATGCATAATTTTTCGTACGAATCTATTCGTATGCGAAAAAAATCCGTCTAATCCCAGGAACCCGATTCTCGAGTACATACGATCAACTGTCGCATCTGAAATTGACAGTTCCATATACGATATTCAAACATTGCTCGATGACGCGACTTCGCAACAATGCGACATTTTTTTTAATGCAGATCTATTCATATGGAAAAAAAAATCCGAAGGAATTCAAGCATAGGACCTCTGGGATCCGATTTTCGAGTTCATGCGATCAACTCGCATGCAAAATTGACAGTTCCATACACGACATTCAAACATTGACTAATGGCTTAGCAACAATGTGACACTTTTTGATATGCAAATCTATTCGTATGCAAAAAAATCCGTCGGAATTCAAGAATAGGAGTCCTGAGATCAATTCTCGAGTACATGGGATCAACTTTCACATGTGAAATTGACAGTTGCATATACGATATTCAAACATTCCAGATAGACAAAGTGATACTAAATTTGCATGAAATTTGCCGCATAAAGGATCATAAAACAAGTCAGGAAGGGGCTGCTTATAAGTCCTCATTTGGAACTCATATCTAGCATCCAATGACGAACCAAAAATACTTAAATATGAAACAAAGTCAAGTACATGCAATGACAATGTTTGTCCGCGCACGTGCATCTAAATTTATCTCACGCATCGCCTGATAAACAATTGCAGCGTCCGTAGCTCGTATTTGAGTCATGGCGTGACAAATTTACCGCAAATTTTTCTTCAAATTTCTTGCGTATTATGCGTACATGTATTACAGACATTTCATGCAGCAAGTGGTCCGAAAATAGTTTGTAAATTGATTTTCCCCATCATACGATGAGGGAAGCATGAATTTCTATCTGGGATTGACCAAAGACGCGACTTTGCAAGAAATTGAAATTTTTGAAGTCCAAATCTATTCGTATGCAAGAAACTCCGGATGAACTCGAGGTTCGAGTCCGTGGGAATTTACTCGTCCCCCTTATTAATATAACAGCTTGTTGGTTCATTTATTTATCTCGTTAGAAACGATATCTAATGACACTCTCTTCTGTACTCTCGACACTTGGACGGATGATCCTTGCTACCCTCGGGCGAGCTCCCGAGCTGCCCCGAGACACGGATCGAAAAGCCAGAAGAAGGCATAAATCACAGGTGGGAAGTCGAACGCCTTCGGCAGATCATAAATCAGGGCCCGTCCTGTTACACGTGAAATTATTACTCGTCGAAAGCGGGAAAGGCTAAAAGGAACGAGGCCTGGGTCCGATATATCCTCGGAATTATCTGTCCTCGGCGGGCCTCGACCGGCACCCTCGACCGGCACCATCGCCTGGAACGTTCGGCTACTTATACTCGCGAAATCGGCGCACCAGGATCGAGAACGAGACAAAACTGCTAATAACTAACCTGAATCCACAAATTTCGCGGCAGGAATTCATTAATAACCCGCGAAAACGAGCACAATTGGCGCGAACTCGTATTCTTCCTGTGGTCGTCGGCCGCCATCTTGGATTCATCGACATCTTCACCGCGAAGTAGTATAAAATCAGTGATCTACATACTTCCTGGATATCTGATATCCTACAAAATGGCGGGTCGTTTCGAAGCAACCAAAGCCCTTAGGTCGTGGCACGTAAATTAATATCGTAGCATATGCGCATGCGTCGAAGCAACGCGCCATTCAACCGTAGATAGGATAAGAGGGGTCAAATTAATTTACTGGATGAAAATAATTGCCATTTTTATTCAAATACATCCGAGACAAAAGATAACCATTTTGTTTTAGTCGAAGCTTTCTTCCGATAAGACCTCCGCAACGTTTTACCCGTAAACGATGTCTTTTCTGTCCTTTATACCTTAAACGTTTGCCTTCGCAAACTCACGGTTCAACGTTTGTCATTGCCGTGATTGACGAATTGACGGTTCAAAACTTTTGCGCATGCGCCCCCGTTACTTATTTAGTACCGCTGTCCATGTGTAATTGGCGCTGGGGTGCCTTGAAGTCCTCTTCGTATAAAACAATTGAGTATCAGCTATCCAGTTAGTATATAGATCGGTGAAGGAGATACAACGCTATGTATTGACATCGTCCCCACTTTAGGGATCCAAGATCTTCAGATTTTTCCGATCTGGCGCCTCTTTGATGAAATTTTCTAATTACAAATTATGGTCTGCTGGTCTTTGTCGCGTTAAAAACATCACCTTCTATATATCATCCGGGGATTATCGCACCGCTTGCGTACCTTAATTGCAGAATTAAAAACATTTTAGGTAATTTACGTCGGGAGGAAATGTTTTGGTCATATAGGATCGGAGTTCCCTCAATTTCCGCAAGTAGCGCTCGCGTCGTTAGGTTAACGAAAATCTGAGATTCTGGGGTCATGATCTTGACGATTCTCGCTTCTTTGCTAATATCATTCTTCCTGCGCGTTTCCTTGGGGCAAAGAAGTGCCTACTTGGTGACATAAATCCTCGTGAGTCCGATTTCTACGATAAACCTGTCTCGAAAGCGAATTATGGCGTTAATATCTCGAGTCGATTTCTCGTAAAAGTCGGCGAAGACGCGTCGCGGGTATCGAGAGACAAGAAGCTGGCAAACTGAATACTTTGACCCTGTTAAATGCAATTTATTGTTTGATTTACTATAAATTAGTGGCTGCAACTAATTTCTAATAGGTGAGCATCCTACTAGCTTTTGTATGCATTTTGTAGGAACGGTGACAATATTTATAGTAGTTTTTTTACCATTTTGGAATAGTTAAATTTCCTTTTAAATATTGTCAATTCTCGTTGCAAGATGTTATTTACCCAACTTTCAGTACCTGCGGCAATATTTCTGGTACAATTGTTTATCATTGCGATTTGGTTAAATCATTTCGCAATTTGTCTTGAACGTTACTAAAAAGTTTTGTTCAAGTTGGTTTCGACATCGCCTATAGATGGCGAAGCTTTTCCGCAAATGATACTCGTTTGCTTATAAAATACTCCTCTCTCGCTAATTGACGCTAAATCATGCAAAAATAATACAGGCCAAACATAATAAGTTTAATAAACGTCCACAATTACACAAACTTACTTTTGGAAACACATTTAATGATTAACAGAACTATTCGCAACAGTTAAAAATACTGTCTGGGCATGTAAAGTTTACAATGACACGTCAGTTGCGTTGACAATAATGTAATTAATTTTTACTATATAAATAGTACAACCTTTCGTTATTCCTCCTAGAACGGTATAGTAAACGTGGACAAGTTAATTTTACTATTTCCAAATAAAAAGACGTAGTAACCGGTATTAGATTTCCTGGTTGATAAAAAATCGTTGATTTTACGGTGAAAAGTATCTGATTCCTTTTTGAATCGCGAAAGGTGGGTAAAAAATAGGTAATTTAACTAAATCTTTCTCTCGGTGAGGAATCCAAGATGGCGGCGGTAACGCCGGGTCAGAGATCGCCAAGACTCGGAGTGATGGAAATGGGGTCGAATCGAGGTCGAAGGGGGCTATTAACTCATTGATTCCCCCCGCTGAGGGGAACAATAAGCTTTCAGAGCAGCGTGCACTAATTATTATTCCCCGTGAGGTATTGCCCCGGGATTTATGGCTCGCGGGAACGCAAGGGTTGGCGACCCACTTTGTCGAGAGTCGGTCGATCTTCGAGAGCGAGGAAACCTAATAAACCCAAAGTGGTGGAATACACATCGATAAATGGTATAAAACCATACAAAATTGACAGGAACCGTATAAAGTGTCTTACAAAAATACGTGTTTTACCTGTTACAATGTTCGCCCTTTCTACGACACAACGTCGATGTAACGTCCATTCTACGTTCATTAAACTATCGTTTTAGTCATGCATCATGAACGTCGTTTAAATTTAGTCCGTACGTAAAATAACCGTTTATAATCGTTTACTATACGTTCAAATGACATTATACGATAATACACGTTTCTTCTCGACTAGGGATACTCATTGAACTCATGAAAACCTTATCGCGTTAAATCAACGTTTGTTATAAACGTATGTTTAACGGAGAAAAAGAAAACTGTGTCCATCAAAGTAATCTACGACGTGTGAAACGTGGCTACGAAAATTAATCGATCGCTAGATTTATCGGTGTCTAATCGATCGGCAGGCGGAATCGATACAGGGGAACTTTTCCTTCTCGCAAGATTTCCAGGCGAGATAAATGCAGTTTCAGTCGATTAATCGCTCGTGATCCGTGGCGAACGAGGTCGATATGTCGAGAGAGGGAAAAAATCGATCCGCCCTGTAATGAGTGATCGATTCGCTGATCGGACACGATCGGCGAAATGGGCCGTTTTCCCTGTAGGGCAATTTCACGTTTTTTGCTTGTCAAATTGATTTCTTAACAGGGGTACTTTATTGTTACGATAAATTCGAATACGGAAATCGAAAGGATCGTTTGTTGGAGGTAGAAATAAGAATTAATATAAATTAAACTAAATTAAAGTAAACGAAAGTAAACTAAATGAAATTAAATAAAACGAATGAAAATGAAATCAAACGGAATGAAACAGCACGATGAAATTAAATGACATGAAACGAAATGAAATTCAATAAAATTATATTAAATACCTGCTTCGTTTAACTTCCAGTCCGCAAGGGCAAACGAGTGCAGTTAATTTCCCCAATTAAGGGTGGAGCGATGTCTAAAAAAAGTCGCGTTAATAAACAAGGGCTTGAAGAAAAAAAAAAAATGGCGCTAGTAAATTAGAATCGAAGACCGACCGTCGTCGACCCTTCGAAACGTCGATTCGCGCGAAGCCGTTCTCTCGTTTTCTTTATTTCACGGACGGCAATATTTGCATTCCTCGTTTTACGCTGTCAGTGCTGCGCAGTACGCGAACGTACGCGGTTGTATATTTATTTACAAGTTGAGCATCGCCGGGATGCACCGAGCGCGAAGTGCAGATTAAGCCCGGCACGCGTGTATGCACGCGTGTACGCACGGCCGGGTGTCTCACACCCGCGCGAGACCATGCCTAGAGCAGGATCATTTATCACGGGAGGCCTCGCCTCGTTTACCGTTTCATTTTGCGAAATATTAATTGAGATTTCGAGCCTGCGGCTGGACGCTCGTCCACCCGGAAACGAGATTACTTGGCGAGCATCTGCACCGAGGAACAAATGTTCCTTCCGTTCAAAGAAATTATTTCTTCGAACGGAGTTAAGGTGATGCGAAACGCCCCTCTAATCACACATTTTTTTCAAAAGTATTGAGCAGAACCGTCTGACACTTAGATACATTACTCGTGAGCACTTAGGAATTATTCTGTCACTTTTAAAATTTTTTAAATTTCGAAAAAAATTCTTGACTTCGCCTGGACCATAACCAAAATGGCGTCGAGCTCTCATAGTTCGATCGATACGCAATTATTGAAGGCTCCAATATGAAGAAAGAAAGGGTCAGGACAATTGTGTGACAATTAAAACACTCCCGGCTACGGAACAATAATATAACCGTTACATAACGTTTGTATCATACAATGTAACGTACATGTAATGTATAAGTAAGATTTATATTGCCAATTCCTCCGTAGCTATATAGCCCTGTAATAAAACGAACAATGTAACGGATACATAACATATCGGCAACGTGTTACGTGTTAGGTTAATATCATATAACCGCAGTGCTTACAAGTTTGTAGAGACGTTACCGAACGGTAATAATTCGACTTTATATTAATGTATCTTTGGAATAACATTCGTCATATATCATGTTATTCCAGTGTTATGTACCCGTAACGGGGGATATGCATATATGACCCTTTCATAACACCTTAAATCATGAGGATAAGCATAATGGTCCTAACAATATATTATAAACGTTTTAACATACGTTAATAAATGATTAAAACTACCCATACCATTGAGATATCTCGAAATGAAACCTACGTGTTATGAAATCTGCCGCTCGAGATATTTAGCAAAGGATTGAGAAGAGATATTTAGCAAAGGATTGCGAAGAGGTATTTCTAAAATATTGTCGGGTCCTAGGATCGAAAGTGACGTCGCGTCGATTTCTCACTTTGCAGACCGAGATCGAGGCGGAGTCGGATTGCTCGGAGGGTCTCCTCTGCCCGAACAACAACTTCGCTTTGGCGAAGAAGAGCAGCAGCGGCAGCGGCAGTGGCAGTGGCAGCGGCAGCGAGGGCAGCGATGGCATCGAGATGGACTGCGGGGGGTGCGGGGAGAGCGTGCGGGAGCGCACCGTCCTCTGCGTGGGCGGACGCACTTGGCACTCCAGGTGCCTCAAGTGCTGCGCATGCGCCAGGCCTCTCCACGACCAGCGCTCCTGCTTCCTCCGGGGAATGAGGCTCTACTGCAGGCACGACTACGCCCTGTAAGTTGCAAACCTCAAAAATTCATAAGATTCGTACACATTTAGTAAGGTGCAAACCTCAAAGATTCATAAGAATCGTACACTTTTAGTACCATAAGGTTGCAGTCAAATTATTCATCTCACGTCTTAACGGGGAATTAGTATACATTTACTGCAAGATTCTAAATCAATTTTGAATTTTATAACATCGCGTTGTGATTTTGTGAAAATGCGGAGAAAAATTATAAATTAGATATTCGAAGGTACATTTAGTACGTATTGTTTTTTAAATTTTACCACGTGAATATGGAGACCCTAAAGTAGGTCCTCGAACTCACGAAATCTCATTTTTCATCATATTCGATGATATATATGTTACGTTAACGATAATAAAATGAAACTTTACTATATAGATAGTAAAAAGTTTTGTTATCCTTCCTAGGAAAGTATAGTAAACGTAGAATGGTTCATTATATTCCTCCCAAAAAGTGTAAAAATATAGTAACCGTTTCTGGGCTTCCTAGAGCAGAAAAAAAAAAGTTAATGTTACCGTAAAAAGTATATGGGTGTTTGTCGAACCATAAAGACTAGTTAAAAAAATTGTTAATTGAACCAGATTTTTCTCTCGGGGAGTTTAGTCATTTTACAAAAAGCCAGATATTTTCCAATCTGGGTAGAACGTATACGCGTCGAGAGGCTGCGAAAGCTCGAAGTCACCCTGGGGACTTACCTGCGTAGGGGGTCCCGATCGAGATTCGTCCTTATAAAAAGATCGAATCTCCAGCTTCCGAAGAAGCGAGGATCCTCGCCGAACGAGGGTCCTCTGTCCGAGGTTTATCCCCTGCAAGTCGTATGACACTTCCTTAAGTGATAACTGGACTCCCTGTCGAGTAGGATGCGTATCCAGGTTGGGTGTCCTGCGTCGCCATGGATGTCTATCTCGTCTATCTCGATCCAGAAGGACCCTCCGTGGCCGCCGTGACTTGTCGAAAGGAGATCATCTCGACTTATCGGCTACCAGGATGAGCGTTTCGTTCCTTCTTCGGGGCGCGATCCGACACGGAGAAAAATATTTGGCTAAATCGATGACATTTTTTATGGTTCCCGTACAGCACCATTTCCTATATCGCGAATTCATATCGCGCATAACGTAACGTATTAACCGCGTTATACGGGAGTCTATTGTATTTTTCTGCGGGGAGGATGACTTTCCCGCGACATGGCGGAAATCGCGAAGGGGGAATCCTTTCCCTCTCTGTCTTTGGCAGGATGGCGGCATCAAAGGACCCGGGGAAGGTCCCAGTGGAGACCTTTTCCTCGATCCCCGACGTGACCTTACGCCGCCGTGGATGTAGATGGACGGACAGATAGGTGAGCACGCAACGGCACGAAGAATACGGCCCGAGTCGCCGTTGGGTGATTAATGTCTTCCGATGCGCTCCTCTTCGTCGGACCCCACGTAAGGCGCGCGGCTATTCACGTCATTGCGCTTCTTTGCCCTTCTTTGCCCGTCACCTCCGGAGAGGCGCCGAGGATCTTTCGTCCCGCGTCCCGCGTCTCGTTTCTAAGGACGATCGCCCGAGAGGTCTTCTAGGACCCCTTTGGAACGCTTCGGCGTTCTCCAAAATGGCGGACTCTTTTGAGACTCCTGGGTGGGTTCCGTTTCTCGCGATGGTTTGAAGAATCCGCCGAGCATCCATCGACTTGCGTCTCGTTTCTAAGGACGATCGCCCGAAGGATCTTCTAGGAGCCCTTTGAAACGCTTCGGCGTTCTCCAAAATGGCGAACCGTTTCGAGACTCCTGGGTAGGTTCCGTTTCTCGAGATCGCTCGAGGAATCCTTCGAGATACTTGACTTTCAAGGACGAGAATCGATATCGGTTAAGGATACGAAATGCTTCGGTGTTCTCCAAAATGGCGGTCTCCATTTAAAGACCCGCTTTCCCGAACCCTGGGTATATTTTCCGCCGTCGATCAATTTTTCTCTTTTTTCCTTCAAATCGGCACGATTATCTTTATTAAATCCAGACTCGATGCGAAGCCAGGTGAAGTTCGATTTCCACAGTGGCGAGGGACGCGAAATGGGTGCCGAGTCATGAATCTCGAATCTCGAATCTTCCGAGAGAGTCGGCTCGCGAGAGGAGCAAGGAATTCGCTTCGTAAGGATCCAAGTCCTTTCGGGGTCCTTTTTCGTTCCTAACTCTCCTTGCCATTTGCAAACGCCACGTCTCTTTTTCTTCTCTTCCCCTTTACTACTCCCCCTGACAAATTTTCAATGTTCTCGGAACCTTGCAAACATTTTTTTTTTTAAACCAAAGGTCCTTTGAGTTTTCGCGGTAAACTTACCGAAAAAAGGGATTCCTCGAGTTCTTACTAAATTTCGGCGGAACCGTATGTCATGGATACGGCGATGAGGCGCGGAGAAAAATAATTTGATTCCAATTATTATACTATAGAAATGGAATTTAAAATTGGTCGTGGTTTAAGGTGAAGTGAAACCCCCCTCAAATCAATCGATTCGAATATACACATTTTTTTAAGGGTATTGGACCGAACTTTCCGAAACTTTGGCACGTGACTCGTGATCATTTCCGTATTAAATTTCCGACGGGTTTAGCTTCACCTTCAACTAATAAAATGAAAAATCGAATTGTCTTTCAATCGAGACAATTTTGTTTTCTCAACGTAGATCGTCCCATACGTTGCTTTTTAGCCCCTTGCGCTACAACGAAGAGCTAGACTCATTCGGTTAGAATATTTAATAATTAAATCGAAGCGCAAGGGGTCAAAACGGCGACGATTCCCACGATCGAGGTTTTCCTGGACATTCCTTTTTCTTTCCACGTGGGTGAGTCCTCGGGAACGATCGCGGATCCCGGATCGAGGTCGCGGATCGAAGAACGCCCGACTTAATCCTCGCAAGACTTATAGGTCCCGCCTGGGGGAAAACAAATGAATAAATTAGGGCGGGGCCCTGGTAGCCGATATATACGGCCCCGACAGGATTTACGGGCATGCCTGCGATGCGCGCCCGGCCGAGAGGGTGGCGCCACTGTTTATGCAAATGCATCCTGCAGATACCGCGCGGATAGCGGAGATTCGACCAGGTCGACGCCGATAAGGGCCGCGCCGATAAGGGCGTCGCGGCGCGCGGCCGACTCCTAGGCGTGTCCTTCGCCCGCCGCGATTTGCATAACCGATGCGCCGAGATGACGATGCAGCCGCTAGCCGCCCCGCTAATCCCGACGGGACTTACCATATTTTTCCATACAATAACTCGAAACCGGCCCGACGCGCTCCTTTAGCTCCTCCCGAAGAGTGGGGAGACACCCCATGGCTCCCCGATACGTTCTAACCCCTCGTCGAAGTCACCGGTGTTCCTACGACTGCGACGACATTCTTTTATCACACTTTTGCAGACATTTTCAATCTTGCGTTTCGAAGAATAGTATATTCGCGTATAGAGGTATCATTGTGGCCGCAACGACAATTTTTCTATGCGTTACTGTCATTTTTAACGCAATTAAGACAGTCACCCTATTAGCTCCTCGATACGTTCTAACCTCTCGTCGAAGTCACCGGTGTTCCTACGACTGCGACGACATTCTTTTATCACACTTTTGCAAACATTTTAAATCTTGCGTTTCGTAGAATAGTATATTCGCGTATAGAGGTATCGTTGTAGGCACAACGATAATTTTGATACGTCTTACTGTAATATTTTACGCAATTGAGAGAGCCACTATACGTTCTAACCCCTCGTCGAAGTCACCGGTGCCACCGACTGCGACGGAATTTCTTGTCGCACTTTTATAGACATTTTGAATCTTGCATTTGGAAGAAGTATCCGTTGCATGTGTCCACATATAAAAGTGTCAGAAAATTACAACCCTTACGTGCTAAATTCGTACATTATGAATAAAATTCATACGTATGAATGTCATTCGAAAATATATTGCAAAATTAGAATACCGTATCTAATTAAATTTTCTTACAAAAATGCCATAAAAGTACATTATTCCTTTAATAGCGCAGAGATTTTTCGAAATTCAACCTCTAAGAGGGTGAAAAGGCGTAAATTGAGTCCTTCAACAAATTTCTTAATATCTCTCAAGCCCGCTGACATATCGAATTGGTTTTCACCTAAAAACGTACACATACAAATGTCTACAAATTAATTTTCCACATTTTTCTTTTTAATTGACTAACATGTCCACTTATTTTAACAGTCTGTCGAGTATACTCCGAAGTAAGAAAATTGGGGATAGGACGTGAGAGAAATAATGCATTTTTTCTTCTTTTCATAATTTTTCAGAACCTTCGGTGCAAAGTGTGCAAAATGCGGAAGAAGCGTAGGAGCCGGGGACTGGGTGAGAAGAGCAAGAGAGAGGGTGTACCACCTTGCGTGTTTCGCGTGCGACGCGTGTTCGCGTCAATTGTCAACTGGAGAACAATTTGCATTGTTGGACGCGAGATTGCTCTGCAAGGCTCACTACCTGGACGTTGTCGAAGGCAACAACACCTCATCTTCGGAAGACTGCGACTCCGAGCACGGCGGCAAGGGCGGCAAAACGAAGAGGGTGAGGACGACCTTCACCGAGGAGCAACTCTCGGTTCTCCAGGCCAACTTCCAGCTGGACAGTAATCCAGATGGTCAAGATTTGGAGAGGATAGCCCACGTCACTGGACTCAGCAAGAGGGTCACCCAGGTCTGGTTCCAGAACTCCAGGGCGAGGCAGAAGAAACACACCGGGAAGGTCAAGACGCAAAGTAAGTTTTCTCTCGCATCCTTAAGGTGTTACGAAAGGCGCTGAGAAATTTAATCGACGTCGATAAATTAAAATTCATCTATATCCTTTTTGGTGGGAACGCCATTTTGAATGCTCAAGTGGGAACGTAAGCTGGCGCGTCGCGTTACCGACATTTATATTTATGTCGAGGTCTTTTACAGTCTACGTTAAGAATTATACGAAATTAAGCGTTCCGTGTGTCATTTCGGTAAAGTAACAACGAAGAGGTCGAAGGAAAACTGTGTCGAAATCCTGTCAATTCATGACATTTTATATTCTAACGGGCCAGCGGTGCCATCTGTGACGTTCAGATCAACTAAACTTTTACTCTAAAATTGAAATTTCATGAGTTTCAGGACCTACTTTAGGGTCTCCATATTCCCGTAGCCAAATTTGAGAAGAATCGGTACCCCCAATTCGGAGAATACTTTCACGAACAATTGACCTCTTAGATGCCACTTTCATGTGACCTTAAGGTGTTTCACTTCATTTTTCCCTAATTTTTTCGCGAAAAATGTCTGCAACCTCGGAAGTCAGGGTATTCTATTTCGCTCGTTCCTTCGCCTCTTCTGCAATTTATCATGAAATTTGGATCTTTCAGGAACAAATATTTAACTTTTTCCATTTTAAATTACTCCTCCATCTTTTACGGGTGTTGGGATAATTTTTGTATTTCTGATTTACTTCCCCAGTGCACCACTCGCCCCCGCTACAGCACCACCCCTCGGACCTGTACACCGGAGGTGTTAGCGTCGTGGGCGCTTATCTAGGAAGCTACCAGGGCGGAAGTGCCGGAAGCGAGAGTCCCGGAAGTCCGTTGACCCCGCTGACACCGTTGACTCCTTTGACCCCCACCACGCCGACGCACCTGCAGGCTCAGTTCTGCCATCAGAGTGGATAATGCTCCTTTCTCCCTTTTCCATTTTTTATCGCACCCCGTTCCTAGTGACGAGCAAACGTAAGACCAAGAGCAAGTCCACCGTGGTCTTTGTTCTGCTCTTACAATTTTGGCAATGACCATCTCGGCCTTGTAGTCTTGGTTAGGTGTTGATTGTACCAAAAGCCAAGACTACCTTGGTCTTGCAATTGTGGGCAGATGTTGGTCACATACTTTTGACATGACTAAGACTACCATGGTCGGGGGTTCATCTTACAATTTTGGCAAGACGAAGACCAAGTTGATCTTACACTTTGGCAAGACCAAGACGAAGTCTACCGTGATCTTGCAATTATGGTCGGGTAATGGTCTTCCACTTATGGCAGGACCGAGACCAAGAACAATTATGCTCGTCCCAACGCCCCGGTGAAACTTGTGTGAACTCTTGTACATACGGTGAGAATGCAAGCGACGAATGAATGGGAGGAACCCCTCCACGTATTATAGATGTACAATATCTATACGGTTTAGTTGCTGTTCATAGTCGAGTAGGTCCGCGATTCGTGCCTACTGTAAAAATAGCGTAAGCCTATCCCAGGGATATGTATCGCGTAATGCGCCACGCCTTGCGTACGTTATTTATTCTCGGTGCAGTGTAACCTCTTAATTGTAAAAATTGTATTCGGGCGAGGTGTCCTTATTCTCGCGATTTTGGATGTATTTCTGGCGGGGGTTGAGGGTGGAATCCTGCCGATGCATGAAAAGATACCTATCCTGCATCTTGTAAGAATGTATTGTTAATGACGAGTCCTGTAACGGTGAATTGTTTAACCCACCTTCGACATCCGACATTACGACATCCTAGTGTCTCCGTACTGTTAACAATAAAAGATCTTTTACTGTTGATTGGTCGATGCGTTCCTTTTCAGCATTTTTCCTGATCCTTCCGGTGGGAAACAATATCTGAGTCCTTGAACGTTAAGATGACATGAAAGGAGCTGAGAAATTTAATTGACGTCGATAAAATAAATTCCATCTATACCCTTTTTGGGGGGAATTCCGTTTTGAATACTCAAGTGGAAACAGAAGCTGGCGCGTCCCGTTCCCCACATTTATATTTATGTTGGTCTTTTACAGTTTACGAATACTAACAATTTAACCTCTCAGATATATATAGGTTGACTTTCATATCACCTTAAGCGGGGGGACGATGAGGGTAAAGTTTGAGGTTAGGAATTGGTCACAGGAGGAAGAAGACGTGCGAGTCACATATTTCCAATCGATCGAGTTAGTTTATTACAATATTTACATCACAGTACGCTCGTGTACCTAATTCCACCTGCTCCTTGCAACTCGGATCCTTGATCCTCTAAATCTTGAACTGGTCGGAAGAGACGAGCAAGGGAGGTCCTTTCCGTTGAAAGAAACTCGAGGAGTCAAGATCGACACTTTCCGAATCGCGAATTCCCGCAGGATACACGGGGGTCTAAATATTTTCGCGTGCACCAAAGCGGGTCCTTAAACTAGGGAATGAGTTTGAGTCTTTTTGGGGGCACTGATCGTCGGATCCTTGCGAGGATCCTGTCGAGGATCCTTAGGGAGATCGTTGGGATTCTCTCTGCCTTCTCGGGGATCCCAAATTAGCGGGATGTTCCTGGCTATACCCCACCGGAACCCTCCATCGGGATACCAGGAAAATTCTCTTCTTCCATCGAAGGGCATTCTGGCTTAGACCTCATTAGGCATCCCGAGCATCATCGAATCCTGGGATAATTCATCCATAGACTGCTCCGATCCTGGAAGCAGGATCAACCATTGAAAAACGCAATTTTGAAGAGATCGAATATTAAGGCGATGCGAAAGTGGCGTCAAAGAGGTCTCGTTTATGAAACTTTACAGAACTGGGGAGACCAAATCGGTTGAAATCTTACAACGCGAACGTGGAATCCATAAAGAAGATCCTGACACCCATGAATGTTCGTTTTTTTTATTCAAAATTTTGTAATGACTATAAATAACTGAAAAAAAGAAATTTACGGGTGTGTGGACCTTCCTCGTAGCCTCGATATTCACGTTGTACAGGGTGAAACGATTCGGTATACCCAATTCGGAGTTTCATGGATGATTGACTCCTTAAATGCCACTTTCGCATCTCCTTAAGATGAGATACTGACCATGATTACGATATATGGATGGCGCAGGACTCTTGCAGGCTGCAGGACTCAGCTGGGTCGGTTGCTGGCCTTGCTGATGTTGCTGCTGATGCTGGAAGGAGTAAGTCAGGTGCAAATCGATGTGTCGGCCGAAATCTCCGCTTGCCGAAGAGTTAGGTGGGGACTGATGAACTGAAGACAGATACAATTTTGCTAATTTATCTGAAAATTCCAACCAGGAAAAGGGAAAATATAAAAAAAATGTCCATTTTTCGTTTTGGGGTCTTTGAATCTCTCGAATGCGCCAGAGAAGTGGCAAGAAGCAAGCAACGGTGCTGGAGAATACATTATTAATTAATACGTGGTTCGGTTTCTTGCAAATAATCCATTTCCGAGAATTTCCATTTGCCCAGGAATTGTAAGAGAACAACCTAGAAAATGAATCAGTGGTGTTTGATCTCCTCGTCGATACTTTACCGAAATGACATATGGAACGCTTCGGTTCGTATAATTCTCAACGTAGACTGTAAAAGATCTTTAACATAAATATAAATGTGCCCATAATTATGAAAGTGGTCTTAGTCATATATGTTTTGTTTCGAAATTACATTGAATTAATTTCGTTTGAAATAATATGGCGTGAAATAACTGATAAACTCATTTTTTTTTTAATTTCGACTTAGACCACTTTCATAATTATGGGCACAAATGCCGGGAGCGAGACGCGCCAGCTTAAGTTCCTAACATGAGCATTCCAAATGACGTTCCCACCAAAATAGGTATAGATGAAGTTTCTCAGCGCCTTTGATATCATATGTTAATCACTAATAAACAGGTGGCATAACCATTTCGAGGACGGTCCTCACCGTGCTGACCCCCCTTCATCTTGCCCGCGTGCAAGTGCTTCTTCTGCCTGGCTCTGGAGTTTTGGAACCAGACCTGGGTGACCCTCTTGCTGAGTCCAGTGACATGGGCTATCCTCTCCAAATCTTGACCGTCTGGATTACTGTCCAGCTGAAAATTCGCCTGGAGAACCGAGAGCTGCTCTTCGGTAAAAGTCGTCCTAACCCTCTTGGCCTTGTTCCCACCTTTATGGCCGCTCTCGGAGTCACCGCCTTCTGCGAGAAGTCCCGATTAGGCGTGCACCGGTTCCTGGGGGATTCCTGCACCCGGAGATGCAGAGTGGGATGAAGGGGTGTGTACAGGGCGCGACGAAAATTCCCGAAATTCCCGAAATTCCCGAAATTCCCGAAAACGACGAAAAGGTCCGTCGAAGCTGAGAGAAACAATGTCCGTCCTCCGATTTTGTATTGTTGATTCAATTTATGATACGACTCGGTTCTCCTGGCACTGAGAGGAAAAGAGTTGGGAAACAACAATTTTTGTTAAGGGAACGCGTTTTCCAGCTTGATTTACTATAAATCAGTAGTTGCAACCATTTTTTAATAGATGAACGTGTTCCTGAGTTTTGTACGAAATTTGGAGCAACGGTAACAGTTTGAAATGTTTACGTTGCATTTTAAATATTGTCAACTCTCGGTGCAAGATACAACTTTCTGTATCTGCAACGATATTACTCGTGCGACCGTTTACCACTGCGATTTAGTTATATCAAATTCCGACTTGTCCTGAACATTCCTGAAAACTTTACTCAAGTTAGTTTCGACTTTGTCGATAGATGACGAGGCTGTCTCGCAATTGATTCGAATCCCTCGTTTGCATATAAGATCCTACTTCATTCCTAACTGACGCAAAGACACGCGATAATATCAACGGGTCAAGCGTAATAACTTGAACAAACATCAATAATTACGAAAATCATTTTTAGGAAAAGATTTAACGATTAACGAAACAATTCGGAATAGTTAATAACACTACCTGGGCGCGTAGAATATACGCTGATACATCAGCTACGATAACGATAACAAAGTGAAATTTTACTACATAAGTAGGAAAAAGTTTTGTTACTTTTCCTAGGAAAGTATAGTAAACGTATAGTTCATTTTACTGCTTTGAAAAAAGTAGGAAATTATAGTTATCGTATGTAAGTTTCCTAGTTTGGAAAAAACTAGTTAATTTAATCGGATCTTTCTCTCAGGGGGAGATTCGTGAAATCGAGGGAATTTTTGCCGCACCTTGCATCGATAATCGTCCCGAGGGATAGTCTCACCGTCCGATGAAGTGTTGTTGCCTTCGACTACGTCCAGATAGTGCGCCTTGCAGAGCAACCTCGCGTCCAACAGGGCAAATTGTTCTCCGGTTGATAATTGACGAGAACACGCGTCGCATGCGAAACAAGCGAGATGGTAGACCCTCTCTCTCGCTCTTCTCACCCAGTCTCCTGCTCCCACGCTTCTTCCGCATTTCGCGCATTTCGCGCCGAAGGCCCTGAAAATGACGATCGCAGACCCGCGTGAGTCCATCTCTTTCGATTCATTTTCACCAATTGGATTAAATTGGATTTTTAGGTTTAGACGAATTCCTGTTTTTAAAGCGTTACGAAAGGGTCGTATATGCAAAAAGTCGGATTTATAAAACTTTTCTCCATACTGGGTGCATCGAGTCATGTGAAACTTTAACACGTGATTATGGAGGTCCTAATGGAGGTCTTGAAAGCCACGAAATTTCATTTTTCGAAAGAAAAACGTTTTTTGGTACTTGTCCAGGATAAATAGAAATTTTTTTCCCCCTACTTCCCCTAGATTTACGTGCATAAAACGTGGATTCCGCGACTTCGCGTTTATCGAGGCGAAGCGGTCTGCAACGGACGAATTAACCCGTCCGATGCGACGGACGCATCGCGGTGCATCAACGCCGGATCAAGATTGCCCTCGCGAATCGTCACCCAATACAACCGTCGTCTCCAGGATCGTCGACACCTCGCATCCCATTTATCCCGGGTGGGTTGGACGGATCTCGGTTTGCATATGCATGGGCGTAAATTGGTGTTTGCTCCTGCGCGCGCACCCGCTTGCAAAATTCATGGCACGGATGCGCGCGCACACGCCAGCAAAATTCATGGCTCGGATGCGCGCGCGCCGGTCAGGGGGAAGGGGGAGGGAGATGGCCCCCGATAAATAACCAAGGCCCGAGGGTTTGCTCGTGTACCCTCGGGGCGCCTCGGCTTTCATCGTACGCGCGAACCGGCGTGGGTGTAAGTGCATGTACCAGGACGCTCCCGACCCGGCGACAAGGGCCCCATAGGGCCCCATAGGGCCCCATAGGGCCCCGAGGTGGCTCTCCGGTGGCGCGTGTTCACCGGCCATTTATTCCACGGGGTCTCTCGCGACACGGGAGAGCTTTCCCGGGACCCAGCGGGGCCCGACGCGGCTTCCTCGTTCCCGCCGGGCGGGCCCTGGGAAGGCGAGGAACCCTGCATCCGGGATATCGCGGACCTCTCTAAATATATTCCTGGAAAAGGGCGCGTGGATAAAGGATAAATGGGCCTTAAGGCTCTGGATCCGATTTGCTATCGGAATCACTTTGCGAAGGTTTAGAGATCCTTGTGCTAAGGTTGGGACGGAGAATCGTATCTCGAGGGGCCTTGCGAAAACTCGAGATTCAATTCGGGGCCTTATGGGTTTTCAGGGAACGAGGCTCGGGATCTCGAGTTCAAGTTTAGGGCGCGAGTCCGACCACGATCATCTCGCGAGGACCTTACGAAGACTCTAAGCCAAACTTGGGGCCCTATGAAGACTCTAGGCCAAATACGGGGCCTTATGAAGGCTCCACCCTGAACTCGTTGCCTTACGAAGACTCAAGACCGACCTCGGGGCCAATCGAAGACTCCAGGTCAAACTCCGGGCCTCGCGCGTTTTAAGAGCGGACTACCAAAAGGCCCGGCGAAAATGAGGCCCAGGATCTCGTGTTCGGAGTCCGTGCTCTCGACTCGCGAGGGGCCCTACGAAAACGCATCTCGGGGTCCGGGCCAACGGTAGCCGTGTACCGGGAGCGCGTTACAAGGCACACGCACGCACTCCCGGATGAATGGGCCCTCGCGGTGGGTTTAATGCCGGTCCCGGTAGCGTCTCGGGTCGGGCCCGGGCCCGACCCGCCGTCGCCGGCGCACCCGGGGTAATTAAACAACGACCAGCGGCCATTAGCCCATTATCATATTCATGAACACGGAAAGTGCATCCCGATTCCGAGAGGCCGACGGTCCCCGGGTCCCCGGGTCCGCGGGTCCCCGGGTCCCCGGGTCCGCGGGTCCTACCTGGCCCGCCCGGGGAATATCTTATGCCGGGCCACGCGACTACCCTGGTGGCCCACCCGGGGCCGCGCTCTCCTCGCTGTCCCATTGCATTCCGGGACCCCGAGGAAATTAAAAGGCGTGGGCCGGGCCCATTCACGCGACCGCGGGGCCCGCGGATAACGTCCAAGGGGTCTTTTCGACCGTTTAAGGTGAAGCGAAACCCCCCCCTCAAAGGACACTTTTTTTTAAGGGTAATGGATCGAACTGTCCGAAACTTTGACACGTGACTCGTCATCATCTTAGAATTGTTCCGACGCTTTCAACGTTTGAATTTTCGAAGAAACATTTTTTTCACTCAGCCTAGACCAGAACCAAAATGGCGTCTAGTTGTCATATTTCCATCGGTATATAATTATTGAAGGCTGTGATATGAAAAACTTAGGTGTCAGGACAATTGTACAATGATTTAGAACACTCTAGTTATCGAGAAACTCGCATTTGAATGGGATCCGTGAATCCAGGGGATTTCTGAAGTTTTACTTTGATTTCTTTATAATTACTCTACGGAAACGATATATGCCGTATGCCATTTAGGGAAATACCCAATATAATTCGAAAAAGCTGTGAATACGAATACGAACGTCGGGAACGTAAGTATTTAGAAGAATCCTTTTTACCGAGGTCGATAAAAGTTTTCGACGTGTTTCCCTCCACCTTAAGGTCAGTAGTTTTTAAACTTTTCTTCGAATCATTCGAAATTTTGCCACGTCAACATAATGGTTTTAGAAAAAGTTTAACCATCCATAAAATTTCAGAATTGTTTTTTCTTACAGTTGTTTCTGAATTATTTTTACATTTCTATGAAAAATGGAATTTCGTGGGGGTACGACCACTTTCCTTTCCCCGCCTTTCAACTGGCAAAAGGAATTTGCTTATGCATTTGAACATTTACCAGTCCCAGACATTGGGCCTCGATCTTGAGGCACTTCGGTTTCCTCGATATTTCTTATTTCCTAAATTCATTATAGGAACCCCGAAGAAGTTAACGAAATGCCCCGAAAAAAAAAAATTTCTTCAAGCAAAGGAATATTTCTTTGAATAGTACCAAAGAAATATTCTGTCAATTCAAAGAATAATTATTTGACCGAAATAACCTCGAGTAGATTAAGTCAAACCTTTCCTCGGAATGATGACAGTTTATTTGCGTTAATTCGAGCGAAATAATTATTCTTTGAATTAAGAAAATATTCCTTTGGTACTATTGAAAGAAATATTTCTTTGGTTCAATGAATTCTTTTCTCAGGGAGATTGAGTGGGATAGACGTGCCCCTTCCGGTCGCGTACCTCGATCGAGACGGGATCGATAGGTAATCCCATTGTCTCAGGACAGGATGCAAATTCGATGCGATCGTAGAGGTCCCCAGGAAACGCCTACGATCGCCTCGCCGGCTTAATCCAGCGAAAGCTCCTTATCGTGCCTTGTCCGAGTCCTTCCGAGGTAGTCTCCGAGTGCTTCTTCCCTTGTTCAAAGGTCCTTTGCATAGTGTCACCACTAAGTCATCGTCTAATTGGTTTGGCTTTCAGAAAAAGGAACTTACGAATCCCAATTTGGCATCCGGCTTCATTTCGATATACACAAAGAAGTGGCATTCACATCTTATGATCAAGTGAAATACGTCGAGAAACTTGATCGGCGTCGGTAAAGAAGATTTTTCTAAATTCCTACGTTGACGTGGTTCGTTTTTATATCGACAGCTGTGTCGAATTATATTGGGTATTGCACTAAACGGCATACTCCGCCTGTCGTTTTTGTACAATGATTATAAATAAATCGAAGTAAATCTCCAAAAAATCCCTGAATTCATGATTTTTGATGCCCTAGTTGACCGCGGAGTGCCACCCTGCGCCATCCGTGATTTCTATGTCAATTAAATTTTTACTCCGAGACCTCGCATTCCCATCGTTTTAGCAGAGAAACGCATAGGTTGTCCAGAATTGAGTTTTAATTTTACGACACGCGCACGTATGTACGCGTAATTATATTTGGCACGAAACTCGACCAAGTTTTATGATCTGAAACCGAGTCATCGCAATTTGGCCAATTTACAGAATTATTGCGCTGAAAAGAAGTCTACGAACGTAACACGAATCAGGAAACAGGTAGAGTTTCACGCCAAATGTTATAATGCATGTATAGAAACAACCAAGCTGTTGTTCTTGGTTGTTTCTATTGGAAGGGGGAGAAAAGAAAGGATAAATCGATATCGTTTGGATTTGAAGAATTTTGTTGAATTTATCGGGCTTCCAGTTGGTTTATAGTCACAGGAGTAGGTTTCCATTTGCGTTACTCAACGCGGAACAGCTGGAGGGATCTTTAAGGGGACTCATCAGGGAACAATACTTCGGTTGTTCGAGCGGTCTCCGGTAGTTTCTCTCGGCCTCGATTCTCCTCTCCTTTCTATGCCGGTAGAAACGAGTCAGTGCCATTTCATCTCCCTAACCTGAGAGGGAAAATGGGAATCGCGAGGATGCAAAGAGTATTGAAAATGACGAGTGCCGATCAAGAAACTCGACGGAGTTCCGAGCCAAATACATTTGCACGAGAAATTCGACGAAAAATGACGAGAACAAAAGGAACTCTTAAGGCACTTCAAGATATGGTCCATCATCGTCCGATAACGGCAAACTTCATCCCATCTCGTGGTAGTCACAAACCTCGACAGAGTTTCGAGCCAAATACATTTGCACGAGAAATTCGCTGAAAAAAGATCGGAACGAGAAAAGGTCTCGAAGATGTGGTCCATCGTCATCCGCTAGCGGTAAGATTCACTGCATCTCGTCCCAGGGAAGAATCTCGACAAAGTTTTGCGGCAAATCCATTTGCCCAAGAAATTGGGGGAAAACTTGGAGAAAAATAGAGAAGAATAATCCGCGAGGAGCTCCAAGATGAGGCCCATCGGCATATCCAAGAGAGATTCGCCGAGGGTCCAAGTCACGAGGTGACTCGTGGATCGGCTCCGAGTAGTCCCGGAGAAGGTTCGACGTGTTTATTTATCCGAGTGCCAATCAAACGGACGTTCCTTGTCGTTGGATCCGCCATGGGGACCCCCCTATCACGGGATCCGATCACAATGGGTATCGTTGCCGCGATCGGTCGCCCGGAGGAGGACAAGGAGGACCAAGAGAACGAAAACGGTGGAGGGCCCATCCGGAAGGAACGCGAGTCTGCCCAGGTGATAAGAACGATAGAGGAGGCCGGGCTCTTGGAAATTGTGTCATCGGTGTCACCGGTGTCACCGGTGTCACCGGTGTCACCGGTGTCACCGGTGTCACCGGTGTCACCGTTCAAGTCGACCCGAGGTTCGTGTACGGTTCGTGTCGAACCGCGCGGGAGGTCCCGAGGAATGTGCCTCGTAACTTTCGGAGTCATGCCGCCACCAGGGACGATTCTCATGAACGATTCTCATGGACCAGGCGGTGGTCCTGGGAACGCGTCATCTCCGATGCATCCGCTGGCCCGGGTCGACGCTTTCGGAGGATTCCACCCAGCAATGGCAGAAAGGATCTTACTTTGGGGAACGGTCTATGGAGTACGTGGTACTTTGCAAGGAGGCCACCCTGAGAGAAAATGACCTGGCAATCTGAACAATTTCACCCTGTTAAGGTGATACGAAAGAGTCAGCCTATATATATCCGAGAAGTCAAATCGTTGGGGAAAGTATTCCCCGAAATGGGGGTATCGATTCGTTTCAAATTTTACCACGAGCATGAAATTTCATTTTTCATCCAAAATTTATTTATCTATCATGGACTGGAACCAACGTGGCGGGGTACGGGCACGTTTTCGGTGTGCTATTTGGAATTTTCCAAATAAAATCGCGACAACACGTTTCTAGATACAATTATAACTCGTTTCCACATAAAATCATGATGACTCGTTTTCAGACAAAATTGTGACGACTCGTTTTTAGATAAAAACGTGATAATCCGTTTTCAGATAAGACTATGATAACCCATTTTCAAGTGAAACTCTTCCCCCACCAAACACGGTTACGTAACAATAATATAACCGTTAAATAACGTTTGCAACGTGCAACGCAACATACATATAATATAAAAGTAAGATTTGTATTGCTATCTTCTCCGCAGCTATTTAACCCCGTTATAAAACGAAAAATGTAACGCATACACAACGTATCGGCAACATGTTACAGGTTACGTTAATATTATATAACCGCAATGCTAACGAGTTTTTAACAATGTTCCCGGACGATAATAATTCGACGTTCTACGATATTAATGTATCTTTCGAACAACATTCGTTATGTACCATGTTATTGCAGTGTTATGTAATCGTAAGGTAGGGTGTTCGGTGGGTACTCGTTCTGAGATAAAATTCCGCCGATCGGTCCACAACGAGGTGTCGGCGCTCTACGAGAGATAGTAGGTACTCACAGGGCGTAGTCGTGCCTGCAGTAGAGGCGCATGCCCCTGAGGAAGCAGGAGCGCTGGTCGTGGAGAGGCCTGGCGCATGCGCAGCACCTGAGGCACCTGGAGTGCCAGGTCCGGCCTCCGACGCAGAGGACGGTGCGCTCGCGCACTCGCTCGCCGCATCCTCCGCACTCCATCGCGCCGGGGGAGAGCTCGCCCGCCCCCGCACCCCCGCCGGCGCCACCCTCGCACCCCCCTTCCGGGCTCGTATCCTCCACTTCCCTCTGAAATTCACATCGACATTGGATTACGAACAACTTTTCATAGAGAATTTCGATTTTCGTCCTTTTTCAAAGAGTCAGCCTGTATACATGCGAGAGGTCAAATCGTTGGGGAAAGTGTTCTCCGAATTGGGGGTACCGGATTTCTTACAAATTTTACCGCGGGAATATGGAGGCCCTAAATTCGTGAGATTTTATTTTTCATTCAAAATTTATTTACTTATCATGGACTGGAACCAACATGGCGGGGCCCGGGCACGTTTTCGATGTTTCACCCTTCTTGGAGGCTCAGAATCGAAAATTAAGAGTTTCAGGATCTAGCTCGAACAATTTAGAATACCGTAGAAATGGAATATTACAGACTCAGATGGGAAAATATGGAAAATACTTTCGCCAACGATTGCAAGAGAATGCTGCGTGTTTTTGGAGCATAAATTTAGTTATAGCTAAACGTGTCAGATGGCGACGTTGGTCCGTTAGGATATAAACGATAATGAATTCCCGGGATTTCGACTGTTTCACGTCAATCCGTTCGGATGGTCATTAGGGTCTAATATCGGGTATTCAAAATTAGGCACCCACTGTATCGACCTCTTTGCTTCACTTCAACCAAGGCAATGTTTTGCAAAAAAAGTAGTTAACCCTAAATCTACCGACGATTTACCCCCCCCTCAAAACGGTCAATTTGGCCCACCGGTGGGAGGTTTGGGATTAAATATGTTTTTCTTTACATCCAATGTTTAACGTTTTGATATCCTAACGTATGTCATTCATATGAGGAAACATAGTCAAATCTTTACCCGAAGGTTTAATATTTTCAATTCTACCCATTAAGAACAAAATGGTATTCGAAATATGGGTACTTTCCTCTAGATATAGTACACGTATATTAGGCCTATTTTATACATCTTATAGATATCTTATACGTATACGATACATATATGTTTTGCGTGGATTCGATTAGTTTTACAGTCACCGGTGTTTGGAACAGCCTTAAAGGAAGGTCCTGATCGATAGAAAATGTCATATCGAGAATCGACTCCATCGATGGGTCGAAGGAGGGACCGGTTATCGTTCCTTGAAGGCGATAACGAAGCCCCGAACAGTGACCGATGGTGCGGCGACCTTCTCGGTTCGACCCGTCGCGGGCGATTTCCCCTTTCGGAGGAGTTGCGACGTAACGACGCAACCGGGAGAGGGCGTCGGAGAAAGAAGGCACTTTAGAGGCACATCGAATCCCCGCGGGGATTTCGGTTACGAAACTTTTCTACCGCGCTTTCTATCGGCAGTCGTTACGCGCGATTCCTCCGGGAAACGTCTAATGGGGAGTGGAGCCTTTCTCGGGAATGAAAGTCCCGGTGATAGTGGCGATCACACTTGGAAGGGAGCAGCGACTGTCGATAAAGGATGACCTTTAAGGTTAAGTGAAACTCCCCCCCAAATACAATACAAATAAGAGACTTTTCTTTAAGGTGATATAAAAGGCGCCAAGAAACTTAATCGACGTCGATAAAATAAATTTCCTCTGTACCCTTTTCGGTGGTAACGCCATTTTGGATACTCAAGTGGGAACATAAGCTGGCGCGTCACTTTACCGACTTTTATATTTATGTTGAAGTCTGTTACATTCTACATTGAGAATTATATGAAAAGAAGCTTTTCACATGACATTTCGGTAGATTAACCATGAAGAGATCCAAGTAAAACTGTGATACAGAGATGTCGTACAAGAAACAATAGGACGCCCATCTATTAAAACCTAATTGCAGCTACTAATTCATAATAAATCAAACAATAAATTGCGTTCCTTCAACAGAAATTAATTTAACAGCGTCAAATTGTTCGGTTTGCCAGTTCTTTTTCTCTCATGGCATCCATGTGGACGCGTATGGGGTGGTTTCCACCCATGGCGCATAAAGTTCACCCATCTTCGAAGAAGTGCGAGAGATGTACAAGAATCAATAGGACGCCCATCTATTAAAACCTAATTGCAGCTACTAATTCATAATAAATCAAACAATAAATTGCGTTCCTTCAACAGAAATTAATTTAACAGCGTCAAATTGTTTGGTTTGCCAGCTCTTTTTCTCTCATGGCACCCATGTGAACGCGTATGGGGTGGTTTCCGCCCATGATGCATAAAATTCACCCCTTTACGAAGAAGTGCGAGAGATGTACAAGAATCAATAGGACGCCCATCTATTAAAACCTAATTGCAGCTACTAATTTATAGTAAATGAAAGAATAAATTGCGTTCCTTTTACAAAAAATGGTTTTAACAGCATCAAGTTGTTCGGTTTGCCAGCTCTTTTTCTCCCATGGCACCCATGGGGACGCGTATGGCGCATAAAATTCACACCTCTGCGAAGAGGCGCGAGAGATCTCGGAGCAGCTGGTCGAGCTCCGGGGGTCCGCGACGTCCCGGGCCCTTCCGGATGGCCTCGACCCTCCCTTTTGAATCCGGGACATGCACGCCCTTGGACGGCCTCACACTTACGAGCCCCACCCCGTGACATCCCTTTAGGCGCCCCTCCATGGGGTGCCCCGTGCATAGCCGCATAATGCCGGGATGTGTGCCTTTTATTGTGTTAGCGGTCTTGTTACGCCAAATTGTCGCGGTCGGCGGGACCCCCTCTTCCCTCTGTCTCTTCCTTCGGGAACGGGACTTCGCCGTTCAACGAGTCTGCCGGAAGTCCGGAGAGAAAAATGTGGAAACGAGCCGTTGAACGTTATCCATCTGGAATCTAGTCGGATTGTAGACATTTTCTAAGCAATTGCGTTTGCAAATTTTAGGAAACGAGCAAACGAATTTGGTACTTTGAGGGCAAGAAATGTAAACGAGCCGTTAAAAATCATCCATTCGAAATCTGGTCAGATCTTCAAAGATATCGCGTTTCGAAATTTCATATGCAATTGCGTTTGCAAATTTTAGGACACGAACAAATGAATTTGGCACTTTGAGAAAAAGTTGAAACTGCCGTTCCAAATTATCCGTTCGAAATCTAGTTAGTTTCAGAATATCAAAATACCATACCTCAAAATGGGCTCAAAGTTTTAGGCACAAGCATGCGAATTTTATATTTTAAGAAAAGCGGGTCGCGATACCCGAATTAATATTTCTACCGATTTCTTATCTTACCATTGTTTTCGAACTTATTTCTAAGAATTCTCGCGCAAAAATGGCTTTTCCCTAAATGCAGTACTCGAAAACGTTCGGAATATTCAAATATACGAAATTCTCCAGGAGTAGAGATCAATCGAAACATTTCCATGGGGAAAAAAAGGGGGTTCCCTGGGATGTCAAAAAAAAAATTGAAAAATGCGTCAAGAAGGGAGGAAAAATCTTTCAGGCTCCCTTTACCGAGATGCGTTATCATAACCGCTACGGTCCATGTCGCTTTAAAAAAGGAAAAATATATATATATCTTTTGGGGATTTCTTTTATCCAATTTTTCTTCTTTTTTTTTCTGATTCTAGGAAGTATCGAACGTAAAATTCAAGGGATGAGAGGTGCCACCCCTCCGTTTTAGGGTGGAGTGGCACCTCACGTATTGGCCAAAATAACACGCCCATGGTCCCAGGGAGTCCCTCCGGCGTCCCGTGGAGGGTCGAAGGGATGCACCATGAACCAGGGGGTTGATCCCACCCCATGACTCCCGGCCATCCTGCAGGACCCGCCATGACTCTTCCTGGCACCCGTCAGATATTTCGTTACAAGGCCATTATGCATTGTGACTCCTGCGGAACCATTGTGCCATTTCTGGGGGCGTATATGGTTAACCATCACCAGCCATACCCAGCCAAATGTTCGCGCACGTCCGGTCTCCATCGGACATAAAAAGCTACGATTTTATATCATCTTTTTACAAGATATTTTATATCCAATCTAGGTATAAGCCCAACGCTTATTTTTCACCTTATAGCAAAAGTGCAATGTTTGGGACTTTCTGCCAGTTAGGAGAACAAAGAAGTATTGCCGGGGCTGTGGACGAGTCCATGGTAAACTGAGATCGATGAGAAATATTTCCGAGGGAATTTTGCTAAATTTAATTGTAGCGTTCAAGCTGTTCGTCGCAAAGTTTCGTGAAATCCTGATCCATTTAGTAAGTATGTAGTACCTTATACTTTCCTCTATACCCTGTTGCATTAGTTTCGTTGAAAAGGTTTCTCGTTTTAGAAATTATAACTTGGAAACGTTAATTGCGCCGAACGGGGAATAAGGTTCGACATAGGGCGACATAGCGCACCCAAAGATTGTTCTCAAAAAGGACACGAAACTATGACCAGTTGCAGTAAATGCGTCGCAAGAAAAATTGAGCAAAATACTTCAAAAAGAAAATGAAGCCTGGCACCTCAAAGAAGACCGAGAGCAGGGACCGCAGCCCTTATCGAGAAAATGGGGTTGCCGATACGCGGGACCGTGCCCTGGGCAAGAAATGGCTACGAGGAATGTCCAAAGACAACATTCCAGGATCTTGATGACATAACTTGTCCTACGTGTGCGTATTAACCCCTTAACTTGTGCGCTCGAGTTAATTCGAGCGCGCTAAACAGCCCAAACTGTGCACACTCGAAATAATTCGAGCGGCGTTGTATTTTATGCTACTATCATTTTTCACCCTCGAATATAATCCAGAATTTTATTTTTTTGCCAAGACAATGTTCGTGTTTTTTTTTACATAAAAAAAATTGATTTTTTTGCCGGTTTTTTTTTTTTTAATCTGTGCGTTAAGGGGTTAATGTGCATCCTTCCATCGACGTCCGTGAGCCTTATTACCTCCACGTTCGGATAACAAAGCCCAGGATGCCCCATCCTGCAATTCTTTTAATTACGCATCTCTTTAGAATTATATCTTCATTTTATAGTTCGTACCTGAAATAAACATTGTTCGTGTACGCTTTGCTGGTTTACACTT